GAGAGTGCTGGCATTACTGGTTGATGAGGCAAAGTCCTTAAAGCACCTAATATACAAGAATAAATGTGAGACAAGTATTATTTTCACTAGAGTACAAAATCCACAAGGGCAGGGACCATTGTTTCTTTCATCCTCTGTTATATCAATAGCATTTAGAACAATGTCTGGTGTAATATAAATATATGTTGAATTAATAAATGAACTGAACACTGTACAGTTGAAAGAAGGAAGGAAGAGGGCACTGGAAATGCAGCTTGAGCCTGGGAAAGCTTAAGACTATGTGAATGATAAAGAATACTATAAGTTTTTGAAGAAGGAAATAAACTGATCTACTATTTATTTTTAATGTTACATTCTGCAGGCCATGTCAGCTAATTGAGAAAGTGAGTGAAGAGACAAAGGAGCTGGGGCGGTGGCTCAGTGGTAGTGCACTTGCCTGGCATGTGTGAAGCACTGGGTTTGATTCTCAGCACTGCAAATAAAAAAAAATAAAGGTCTATCAACAACTTAAAAAGAGAGACACACACACACACACACACACACACAGGAAAATAAAAGGTGCCAGGATTGCAAAGGATATGGATATGGGACTTGGGGGTAGAACTGATAGGACTTGACATATGACTTATGTGCAGAGGTGAGAAAAAGGAATGAGTTAAAGATGATTCTAGAAATTTCCAAACCAAGTGACTAGGAGAATGGTGGTATCACTATGTAAGAAAAGGAGAACAGGTAAACAACAATTTTTTTCTACAGGAAAAAAGTAAGTTCAGTGCCTAGGCTTATTAAATGTAAGTGCTGGCTAGAAATTCATATTAAAAAGTTTAAAATAAAGAAATTTAGACTTGGGGTTCAGAAGTGAGCCAAGATGAAAGCTCTATGTGGACTTAATCAAGATATATGCTCTGATTGCCTATTCTTCACAAGCACCAGAATTTAAGCCATCAGCATAGCAATGGTTGTTATGAATGGGAGATAAGTCATTGGGAAGCATTTAAATATTTAAGAAAAAAATGGATAAAAGAACCATTGTATGTAATTAAACTAGACAGATGAGAAATAAGACTATTGCACAAATATCAAGGACAAGTTTTTAAGAAGGAAGCTAAGGGAAGAAAGTGTACAAATTGTTCAAATCCTCAAAAATTTTTCCTAATTTAGTGGTTCCTTTCAGAATATAGTTAAAAAAACTTCAAGAAAGCGTCAAGTGGAAATCAAACTTTTCAAAAAAGAAAACTGGGAACACACACAAATCTTACAAATGCTAAGAAGTTGGTGAGGTCTCAACAAAAGTGGAAAAAGAAATATCATTCTGACCTTAAATCTGCTACTGCAACTTTCAGTGAATCATTTAGACTCTTTATCTCTAGCCACTCTTACTGAAACAGGGATTTTTTTTTTTTTCTTTTTTCTTTTTTTAAACAAGAAGTTCTGGGAAAAATACCAACATGAATTTAGAAGTACAGTGAAGGCCTTGGAAGGATATTTAAAGACTAGTTCCTGTTCTCAAAGAGGTTAGAAGGTTATTTTTTAATTAAAAGCAAACCATGTAATAGTACTTAAAGTAAATGCTTTACTTAAGAGTTCCAATTTAGAGAATAAATATTAAAAAATGATTTGTGTACAAGTAATCATTTAAGGCAGTTCAGGAGAGTAAATGGCATAGATAAACTCTAGTTTGAAGATTTTCCCTCATAGACTTGAGTTGTTATCCTATTGATGTTGAGCTGAGTTTACTCAAATATAGACCAGATTATATGTCCATATAGCAACAATAAAACAATCTGGTTGGTTTAAATTACATATCCCAGAAGCTAAACTAAAATTCTGATTAATAGCAACATAAGGGAAAATAACCAAGCTATGATAAAGCAAGTGGCTTTATAATTCTCTGGGTGTGTGATTCTCCTGGGATAAGTTGTTAGAGAATATGGACCATGGACATAAACATCTTCAGGAGTTCCAGTATCCACTTTCCAATAAAAACAAACAAACAAAAAAGAATTCCAATATACGATAAAAACATACCTTTCAGGAATGATATGCCAGTTTTCATTCTTTTTTTAAAAATATTTTTTAATTATACATGGACACAATACCTTTATTTTGTTTATTTATTTTTATGTGGTTCTGAGGATAGAACCCAGAGTCTCACACGTGCGAGGTGAGCGCTCTATTGCTGAGCCACAACCCCAGTCCAGTTTACATTGTTAATAGCAGCTGAAGAAGTGCTTATTTCTTAACATTCTTGCAATCATTTAGTATTATTTTCAAATCTTGTTAACTTGACAGAAGAAAAAAATAAATTGTAATTTCGTAGAATGTTGTCTCATTTGAGCCATTTAGACTTCTTTTTATTACTGATTTGTAGAGTTCCTTATATACATAAAAGAGAAAGATCCTGTAGTCACTGACAACTCCAAAAGAAGGATTACCCAAACCACCCTCGTGCTTCTACACTACATAATATAAAATAGACTGGCTGCAAATTCAGTCCATTTTCCTGCTGCTTGGCAAGTCACTGGTAGGCCACTGTTAGCTCCTTTGCTTTCCCAATCTCCAATTGAGGCCTGAATCCTTTCTTTCCCTGTGTAGACCTGTCAGACCATAAGCACCCAGGACCCAGTGAATCTTAGAGTCTAGAAAAATAGTACAAGGCATGCAAGAAGATGACTAAATAAATACAAGCCTGGCATGGCATGGCCATAAAAGGGCAGTAACAGACACATTTGTTTTAAAGACAGCTCTCCTTCTTATACACTAAGTGGTCCTGGGCCAGCCAATCTTCGGACACAGTTTTCTCATCAATAGAATGGCATTTAATAGCTACTGCAGAGGACTGTTATGAAGCAAAGACCTAATGCAAGGCATGGAATATGACTGGCACTAAGTAAATATTAGCTTCTTTTCATGTCTCCAAGTTGGTATATGCTTTTTCCTAAAATTTGACTGCTTTATATGGATTTTTTACATAGCTACATTTACTTTCTTTTCTTCATGTCACTCTGATAGGCAATAAGGACACATCAATGGGTCTTGATTACTACAAAGTCAACTTTCCTGGCACTAAAAGAGTTTCTGCAGTTTAAACTCAAGATTACCTCTTTAAGTCTGTCTCATACTCCTCCCCATAAAATATTTTCTAGTTCAGTAAGAGTAGGTTTATTCATTTTTCCCAAATATACCTGGAACATTCAAATCTGTATGCCTTTTCTCACTTTTCTACAATTCTCCAACTCTCCAAATTCCAAGACACATTATTATTATTTTTTTATTGTAATCTAATATTTATTGAGTGTTTTCTATGTGTCAGGTATTATTCTAAGTCTATTACATGCATTGTTTTCACTTAATCTTCACAAGCTCTACAAGATATTCTATTATCTCTGTTACCAAGAATACATATTTGGCTTTCTTCTCTAACAGATTGTACAGTCTTGCAATATAAGCTATGCCTTCTACTTCTTTGTTTAATCATCAAGAAGGAATTCAATGAGAATGTATGAATTGATTACGTTTTCATTCATATTTTGTTCTTTCAACTGCTATAATGCTCACTTTCATCAAACCTGTTATGCTGTCAGATTATAAAGTAAGTAAACAAGATTATCTAAATTTTGTAGACATCTCTAAGGACCCAAGACTATTTACAGACATAGTAAAGATTCTGCATGCTGAAGAACAGCAACAGTTTAAGTAGTAGAGTGTGAGTTCTTACAAAGAAATCCTTGGAATTACTAAGATCATGAAATGAGCTTAAGTGTGAAAACTCATGGGTATTAAAAATCATAAAAGTGGGCTGGGGATGTGGCTCAAGCGGTAGCGCACTCGCCTGCCATGCGTGCGGCCCAGGTTCGATCCTCAGCACCACATACAAACAAAGATGTTGTGTCTGCCAAGAACTGAAAAATAAATATTAAAAAAAACTTTCTCTCTCTCTCTCTCTCCTCTTTCTTTAAAAAAAATCATAAAAGTGAGAACAAACAAAATTAATAAAATGTGACAGTACAGTCACCATTGTTTTGTAGATCGCATAAGATATTATAATAGGGTGATAAGAGAAACTCAGCAAGTCCTTTCTCTTTACTGGATTTATCATACAGGGAAAGCACAATTTTTCTTGCATGTAAGCCAAAGCCCCGTAATATCATATCTCCTTTACTGGGAGAAATAATCATTTGGGCTGCTTATAAAATAAAATGTGCTTCAAGGGACTTTTTCAAATTATATGTCTATGATATTATGGGATTTATTTTCCTCCTAGGTCTCCTGGGTTTATAGCACAAACATTTAAATCAAACTTCTTTTCATAATGTTCCTAGAATACAAGAAGATTTATAACAGACTGATAAAGAAGAGTAAGTCAATCTGAAGATTAAATAAAAATAACAGAAAACTGAGTACTTTTAAACAAAATTAATAACTTAAAATTAATTTATGATTAACTTATTAAAATGAAAAATTTCATACCTTGAGTGTATTGTTACCTTTTTTAAAGATTAAAGATACTGAGGTTTTCAAATTAGCTTGCTTATGATTAAGGATGAAAGTGAGAACAGCTACTATGTTAGATTAAATCATTTGCTTAATTCATAGGGAAGAATAAAAGATATGCCAGTGTGCAGCACATTCTAGTGCAAAGGAGAAAAAAAGGTTAATCAATTCAACTCAATTTTAGCTGAGGGCATTTTTCCACGACTACTGAACCCTAGCATGTGTCAGGCAGCTAAAATTACACTAAAACGTGCAAGATCTGTTATTTTAGAGATAATCCAGGAAGCAAACAAAGCCAAAAATTCTCTCTGTATTTTTAACATGAAATGCTTACATTGTTAGTCAGGTGTATATATATTTTTTCTCTGTTAAGACTTTCATGTATGGGTCTCCTCTTTTGAGTATGTTTGAGTTTCCATAATAAAAAATAGGAAAAAAGGAAAAATAACAAAAATGATTTTGTATATATTTCTAATACACTATTTGCCCTTTAAAACAATTCTTACCAGTCTCTGCTTCTGAAGCTCTTCTCTAAGAATTCTATCTTCTGGCAAAACATCACACAACAAAAAATAATTGTCTTGTTCTTCTGTTGAGAGATAAGGAAAGTAAATGAGAAAATAGATATTTCCAAGTTTTTTTTCCTAGAATAATTTATTTCTTTAAAAATGTTTGCATGCATGTATATGACTGTGCATGCCTGGGTGCACATACAGTAGGATCTAGTACAGAATCTGTTTTAGCTTTATTCCAATTTAGGCAAAATAAACACAGCAATTTAACTTCAGTCATCATAAAAGGGAGAGCAACTGTAATTTGAGATAGTAAGATTATTCCTTCAAAATTTTTGGAATGCAGTAAAAATATGGTACCAAGTTGTATACTTACCAAGTGGAGCTGTGGAATTGATTCTTATCACACTACAAAAATCTGTGATGGGCTGTTCAGTGAACCTTTTCTTCCAATATAAAATGTACCTTAGAATAATAATTTAAAAAAGGGTTAGTGAGAAGACTCAATATGCTACTTTCGTAGAATAATAGGATTATATAAGAACATTTCATTTTATCCCAAAGCAACAAATAAAATTCTAACTGAATACTGCTAGAAAATTTGTGAACACAAAGGCAGTGAAGCATTGTAGAAATATGAAATAAATACTTAATGAAATGAAATTACCCTGTAAAAGCATAAAAATGATTAAACTTTATCCCTAAATTCAATAAACAGATATATAGGGCAGTTAAACTGAGTTACTTTAACATGATAATGAAGTTTTCTAAAATAATATATGAGTTTATATGTATTTAAAATGCAACAAATAAATAGGCTTCTGACACATTCTGCAATAAATAGAAAGTTGAGTGGTTATCTTATAAAAGAACAGAGGTCATAAGAATAATAAAATGAAAAATCAGTCTAAGTTCAAAATCTATATAACAAGAGAAAAATTCCATATGTCCACATCATGTTTGAAAGAAGTCAAATTTAGCCTTTGGAAAAATAGCTGAGCTTACGATTCTTATATCTAATGAGCAGATTTAGAAGCAGCATACAGGTTGAATTTAAATGCAACTCATAACTCACAGACCTATATATCTGATGAAAGAGGTAATAAGATGACAGGATTCAACAAGCTATGTTTATTTTCATTTACTTAACAACATATATATTAGCAATTGCAATTTTATTTGCCAAATGGTACCAATAAGAGAATGTGGTGTTCTTGGGGAGAAAGGAGTTGGTAAGGGTTGACTCTATACTTGATGATTTATCAGATTATGCAACCATGGATAAAAGCAGTAACTTAAACCAAAGAACCAAAGACCTGTGAAAGATATGTGGTCTTGAAATTGTTTCTTTTTAATATTTATTTTTTAGTTGTAGTTGGACACAGTACCTTTATTTATTTATTTTTATGTGGTGCTAAGGATCGAACCCAGGGCCTCGTATGTGCTAGGTGAGTACTCAACTGGTGAGCCAGAACCCCAACCTCTGAAATAGTTTTAATGGTGTAAAAAACAGTACATAGAAACAGTAGGAATTTGGACATTTAAAAATGGCTTCATATACACCTACCAGTGTTTTTCATATAGTAGGCCCACAACAAATGTTTTAAAGTAGTATGAGAGTATTTGAAAATTCTTGTTAAGTTTTCTAAGTAGCCTCCTACTTGACATATTTGTTTCTCATTTTTATTCTTTCCTCCCTTTTTCTTAACATTACTTCTCCAATTCCATGGTTCTCTGGAGATAAGGCATTACAATATTAGAAAAAAAAATCATGCTGGAGAAAGGTCTGAGAAAAAGAGAGAATCAAGATATAAGCTGACATAAAATGTAAATAAGTATATAATTATAAAAGGAAAGAAATGAATGACTAATGTATAAGAATAGATCCATATTTTACTTCTTTCTTCTCACATAAAACCACATTATTAACCCTGATGGATAAGAGGAGAAATCTTCCCATATGGAACAGTACTGAGCTTCATCCTAAGAGATAAAAAAACGATGATTTTAGGCTCCAGCTCAGCCTCAAACCACAAATACTACAAATGATGCACTGTTGCTCTGTAGTTCTCATTGGTTTCCATAATAGCAGTCTCAGAGCAGACAAAAAGGCAAATTTATCTATCAGAAGCTCTTAACATTATTTCCCATGCCAGCTTCAGCACCTTTCATTTCTCAGTATTCTACACAGCTACTTTAGTTCTTTTCTCCCATGAGAAGCAAAAAAGGAGAAAGAAAAGGCTTAAGAGAATAATAATGACATTCCTTGACCTTTACTTATTTTCTTCTCGGTGTATCTTTTATTACAAAGGGTTGACAGGGATAAACGAACATAGTAGAACCTATATTAGAGATGTTGCGTTGTTTTTCCAAATTGAAATATGCAGATATCTACTTTAATGACCAATCAAATTCATATATGGTAGACCAGGTGCTGAGATAGAGGACAACATTCTCTCTAGAGTTCCCTTATGGTCACCATTAGAATATACCAAAGAGAGATACCTCACTATCTGTGTGACGTCCTCTAAATGAAACTGACAATAATGGTCAGCCCTATAAAACAGTAGTTCCATTTTGAGTCTATAGCCAATTATAGGAGGCAGCAGTCACTCCTTGAATATACAGACCTAGGAATGTGTGAAACAGATGACCAATAAGAATGTGGTGGATCCTAGAGATCAAACTGCCCTTTGAATTATCATTGATTTATTTATTAATGAAATATCAATACCATTTCTATTCTGTCTGCACTGATATGCATCTAGAAGCAGTTTGCTTTTTAAGTGAAGAAAGTGGTCAAAACTTCATAGTTGATGTATTAATATGGTATGAAAGGAACAGGGACTTTGCATTCAGGGGTATGAACCTAAATTTAAGGTATTTCATTTTCCCAAAGCTCACATTACTCACTTGCAATATCAGTTGTTGGCAACTAAACAAAGCAAGTAAAGCAGTATCCAAAATCCTGAATGTTTAACATGTGATATTTATTATTAAGAGAAAAAAACATATTTAGATAAGACTAAGGTAGTGAAGAATTTATGTTTATCTCAGGGGAATAATGGTGCCTAAAACAAAAAATATTTCACCCTCAACAAAAGGAAAAAAAAATGGAAAAGTGGGCATGGTGGTATGCGCCTATAGTCCAAGCTACTTGGGAGGTGGAGGCTGAGGTGAGAGGATCACTTGAGTTCATGAGTTTGAGACCAGCCTGGGCAAGAATGAAAGAAGAACCTATATTTTTTTTTTTTTTTTAAAAAAAGGAACATTGCAGCAAACATCTACTGAGAAAAAAATAGTTTAATAAATAGTGAGAAAGCTCACAGAAGTGGCTAGGGTGACAATGATGTCATGTGAAGCAACAATGATAATTACTAGAAGCCACCATTTGCGAGTCCTTGTCTGTCTAAGGTCACAATTAGAATGTAAGAATTGGGATATGAACTTGTTCTGACTCCAAAGTCAAACTTGGTCTTCTGGAGAACAGTGCCTCTTGTGGCACATGGAGATCAATCTGCATAAGAACTGCAGAAAAGGGAAGACAGGGTGGGAAAAAGCCCATACAGTTGTAATGAAATTATTATTTTTTTCCTTTAGAAGACAAGGAAGTTCTGTATAATACTTTTTGACAAGAGAGAAACAGAACTAGAGACATGAAGTCTGAAGGGAAAAGGAAACTTCTCTTTCCCAAAAGCATACTAGACAGTAGTGGTGTTCAGCATAAACTGCACCTAACTTCAGGTCTAAGGACAAAAAGCTGATGCCAGCTGTGTGTGGCTGTTGATTTAGAACTACTTGACTAGGGACAAGTGAAAAGTAACTCCATTACAGAGGTAACAATGACCTAATTCCAACAGTCAATGGGTCTCAGTCTCTAAGGATTTCTACGTTTTGATACTGTCTTCATGATCTCTGAAGAGAAGGATCACATTATATACTATCTATTTTGTGTCAGAGTTTACTTCAAGGTGATAGACACAGGGAAGCAATTACTAACATCAATGGACTTAAAATCCTGGGTATATTCTGCCTAGCAAACCCTTTGAAATATTTAGGGAGGGACTGGGCATGGTAACTCACACCTGTAATCCCAGTGACTTGGAAGGCTGGAATCTCGAGTTCAAGTCTAGCTAGCCTTGGAAACTTAGCAAGACCCTGTCTCAAAAATGAAAATGAATGAATGAATGAATAAATAAATAAATAAATAAATAAATAGAGCTAGGGATGTAGCTCAGTGGTGGAGTACCCTTGAGTAATGTGTTCCACCCTTAAGAAATGTACACACCCACACAGACCACTAGTTAATGAGGGCTTCCAAAGGGTTGAAGAGAGTGAAGCTATTATGATATAGTCTGGCAGTCTTCAAATAGGTTCAAAGTTATTTTATTGCTCCATGAACAAGTAGTCATCAATTTTATTTACTTGTTTGTTTTTATTCATTTTTGGGACTGAACTCAAGGGCACTTGACTATCCTTCCAGTCTTTTTTGAGACAGAGTCTCACTAAGTTGCTAAGACTGGCCTTGAACTTGTGATCTTCCTGCCTCAGTCTCCTGAGTCACTGGGATTATAGGCACATGCCTGGCAGTTATCAATTTTAGAAATGATGTTTTTCAGGTACTGTCAGTAGAATGTGAAATATTGTTAGTTGTCTTCTCAAGGCAGGCAGGGGATAAATCAGGTAATAGGCTAGTTCAATAGGAAAAAATTATCAATGAGTGTCTCTTCTTGGGAGACAATGTTTGTTACAAAACCACATATAAACCATCATACAATCTAAATATATAAAATTATGAATCAAACCTTATTGGGATATGATATATAAATAAATAAATAGACCTCAACTACAACATATATTTGACCTACGCCTAAATTTGAGGCAAGAAAAATACTAGTTAAATGTAATAATGGTTATTTTTGCTTAGAATTAAGAGGTGTCTCTATATATATTTCCTTGTGGTTAGTACAGGCACTCAGATAAATTGCATTCAATTGAGATATAGCTTAGTGATAGCAGGCCTTAAATAAATACATGCTTCTTGTGATTTTTTCCCCACCCACTAGAAGATATTTTTTAAAGGTAAGGGATCATTTAGTACTTCTTCTTTTTTTTTTTTTTTTTTTTTACTTCTCTGGTTTATTCAGAGTTAGAATTGTAGCTACTCAATCTGTAAAGGCTACTGTGAAATAACATGGTATCAACACTTTATTGGGATGACTGCTATAAAAGAATTTTTATACTTTACTAAAAAGCCAAGAAAGTAATTGTAAGTCAGCAAATACTTATCTCCTTTCAGAAGAACTTCAAATCATGTCTCAGAATTGTCTCAGAAAAAAATAGTCCCTCTACCATCACTGATATACTTATTGATAAAGGTATAAAGATTTGAGATATGGTTGTCAATTAAGTAGTACAAAATGAGTGAAATTTAATACAGAAGGTGGCAATAATTAAGAAGTTAACATATATCGTTTGGAGCAATTTTAATCTACTGAATAAAGCTAGAAAATAGCTCAGTAAATAATTGTTAAAGACGTTCAAAGGGAAAATTTTTATGTTTCTTTTATTTTTCCCTAGAAAGTTTATACTGTTAATTTGTTTCAATAAAGAAAATGTCAGGCAGCAGCTCCGGCGGCGGGAGCAACAGCAGCAGCAGCAGCTAGGCAGCGCAGCTTCGGAAGGCTTCCGCGCCGCGGCTCGCAGCACTTGCACGAGCTCCGCGCGCCTCCAGGATGCCCAAGAGGAAGCCCAAGCGGAGGACGGCCCGCCTGTCGGCTAAGCCTGCTCCTGCCAAGGCAGACGCCAAGCCTCGGAAGGCGGCGGGCAAGGATAAATCATCAGACAAAAAAGTTCAAAAAGGGAAAAGGGGAGCAAAGGGAAAACAGGCTGAAGTGGCTAACCAGGAAACTAAAGAAGATTTACCTGCAGAAAATGGAGAAACGAAAAATGAGGAGAGTCCAGCTTCTGATGAAGCAGAAGAGAAAGAAGCCAAGTCTGATTAATCATACACCATGTCTTTTCAGTGGTCCTGTCTCCCTTCTTGTACAATCCAGAGGAATATTTTTATCAACTATTTTGTAAATGCAAGTTTTTTAGTAGCTCTAGAAACATTTTTAAAAAGGAGGGAATCCCACCTCATCCCATTTTTTAAGTGTAAATGATTTTTTTTAGAAGTGAAATCATTTGCTGGTTGTTTATTTTTGGGTACAACCAGAAAATAGTGGTATATTGAATTATGGGAGGCTTGGACTGTCTTTGGTATCAGCTTAACATTCCATAGGTGGGGGGTTAGTTTTATATCCTACAATACAAAGCATATTAAATGGCAGTTTGGAGTCACAGTATTGCATTTAATGTCTTGAATATTTTAAATTACTTCTATTCCTGTGTTTTTTAGTAGAATTGTTTCCTAAAGAAGACCACTACTGGATCATTGCTGTCAGAATCGTATGTACTCTATAACATCTTTGGTTGTGGAAGTCTAGTTTTCCTAATATTTTTAATGTGCTGTGAAAGATGAAAAATTTGAGTATGTTGTGTGTGACAAAGTTTTGAATTAGTGGGACCTAAGTAATAACATTCAAAGATACTGGTACTTGATATTCTATTAAGGAAAAAATGCCTCCAAATTAAAAGCTGGAAAGTCACTGGAATAACTGAAAAAGAATCACAGTATAAAGCTTTTTAGATTTCTGGTACGTGTGTTAAGAATCGTGTACAAAGTGAAATGTCTGTGTACTGATTCTCAATACAGCCAATAAAATCTCAAACACAAAAAAAAAAAAAAAAGAAAATGTCAAATATATTTAATGTGAAAACTTGACAGTTTACTTCTTGTTTATACACACACACACACACACACACACACACACACACATATATATATATATATTTTTTTTTTCTTTTTGTGGTGCTGGGGATTGAACCCAAGGCCTTGTGCATGTGAGGCAAGGACTCTACCAACTGAGCTATATCCCCATCTTGTATCTATTATTTGTCATCTTTATTACTTATTGTACTTGGAAGGAGCAACTTTTTCCTAGAAGTTCTGGATAAATTCACTTATGCTACTGAACATCTCACTGTTCTCTCCTCCCCACCTTACCTCTTTAGCTTCTTTTCTAAAGTTAGGAATAATCCACACACATAATATGAGAAGATTTGAACTTATCTCTGATCATAGTTAAGACTTGTTTTCGAAAGAAATTTTTAGTTTCATTAAATAGAGATATTATAATTTAAAGGAGAATGGATATGTTAAAATGTATTTTAAAGCAACAGAGTTTAATCAATCTACTCCAATCCATTTGAATTGATCTCAGTTTTACTTACTGTGATAATTTTATTTAATTAGGAGGACAGCTGATAAGAAAGATCTAGGTTTCCAAATTTAAAATACATATTAACTATGCAGTTTTGAAAGCACTTACATCAGATATGCATGTTTTTCTTCAATTAAAAATCATCAATTTTATTATATAACTAAATTTAGGGAGTAATTAATTCTAACAATTACTGAGACTTAGTAAGTAATGGTTTTTCTGTTTATAGATGAATAATAAGATTAGTATCAATGATAAGAATGAGAGACTGATTAGTACAAATACAGCTACTTAACTATCATACATAGTACAAAGATGAAAAGATAAATTCTGATTCAGATACTCAGATTTTAAAGGAAGAGAGAAAGGAAAATCTTAACACCTCTCAATTATCACTGGTAAATGATCGTATTTTTCTGCAATTCATTAGAGATACTTTGTGCTTACATAGAAAAAGAATAAAAAGAATAGTTTCATAACAAAGAAAAGCTGAGTAATATAAGTCTTACTCATTTAATAGTCCTATCAATGGTTAATTATCAATTATCACTGGTAAATGATCATATTTTTCTGCAATTCATTAGAGATACTTTGTGCTTACATAAAAAAAGAATAGTTTCATAACAAAGAAAAGCTGAGTAATATAAGTCTTACTCATTTAATACTCCTATCAATGGTTAATTATCAATTATCACTGGTAAATGATCATATTTTTCTGCAATTCATTAGAGATACTTTGTGCTTACATAAAAAAGAATAGTTTCATAACAAAGAAAAGCTGAGTAATATAAGTCTTATTCATTTAATAGTCCTATCAATGGTTAATTGGATAAGAGAAAATTGGAACATGTCTAGCCTACAAAGTGTCTAAAACAAAATTAACAGATTTGCCCACATACTATAATTAGGTATCATAAACGAGAAAGCTCCCAGACTACACCAAGAATTAACAAATACACACACTCATTCAAGCGTGCACACATACTACCCCCAACCAACTGAAAAATAAAAATGAGAATTAGAAGCAGAGTGTCTCCTCTGAAAGTGAAGAAGAAATTATTCTATTTACCAGTTGCTGACGTATATTATTCATGTAACTCTCTTCCCTTTCTCTGTTCCTTCTCTGCTTCCTGACCAGGCAGCACTAAAATGTACAGTGCTGAATGGATATAAGGGGCAATACATACGCAGGAGGCACATGGCAGACACTCAATATGGGTGTTAGGCAGTTGGGAAGGATATTGAGGACAGAGATCAGGGTTAGAGAATAGTTAATATTACCCTTGTGGGTATGCTAGCTATTCCAACTTTCTAGAATTTTAGATTATTTAGAATCCTGGATGACATCTCAAAAGTTATATTTCACAAATAATTATCAGGTTTTTAGACCAGAATAAATGCCTATTGAAAATGCAAGCTACATTTATAGAAAACTAAGATTTCAAATACATCTTTAGTAATAAAAATACAAATGAAAACTTGGCTTTCATTTATCTGGTACACATTGTTACAGGCACTAGCAGGTGTTACACATACTCTGTTTCATATACGATTCAACAAGAGCTGGCAGAATGATGCTTAAAGTAACTCGTTGGAAGTCACAGGTTAGGAAGTTTTGAAGCCTGCATTTAACTCAAGGCCTGCCTGGTATTACAGTCTACCTTAATAATACAGTTTGTGGTTTTGGAATACCCATCATAAGAAAGAAGCTGCTTTCTAGTAATGACATATGTTATCTGAGAGAGAAATTTTTATAGTTAAGATGCAAGGATATTACAATGTCTGGGCTACTCAAATATTTTTTAGTGAAATCAGAAGAGAATATCTCAAAATGTGACCTTACCAGATATACTAAATTATAGACATTCAGTAACTATACAAGTTAGTAACTACCATGATGTTGCCTCTATAAAATATGTTTGCCAAATTTCAATCAATCATGAAATGTGCATAACTACTACTCCATTATAGTTGCTTAAGAGAAGGTATTTCTCTTGAACAACTACTATCAGAAAGTATAAATTGGGGGAAAAGGGATATTGCCTATTATCACTTACCTGCTAATATGATAATTCAGGTGTTTCTCAGTTGGAGCATAGCTCACTTTGAGCCCTGGCTGTGTAGGTCAGTTTCCATAGAAAAAGAATATTTCTAACATGCCCAATGTTAGCAGTTCTTAAGATACTCCTCTCTATCTACTTTTTCATCTTCATTATCCTTTGTCTCTTAAAATCTGTCACTGATTTTAATAGCTGTCACTCATATCTTCCCTCTGGCTTGTTGAATGATTCCATTTTTTTTCCTCCCTCCTGGTTTACAACCTGAGCATAGTACTTAAACTGAGATTTGTTTGGACAAGATCCTGCAGACTTGAAAGGTTCCAATACACCTGTTCTCAAACATTAACTTTTGGGTAGCCCATTGCGATGTCTTTTTCTTGACTTCCTATATGGAGCCATTCACCCAGAGAACGCCTATGGCCTCAAACATGAAAAGAATGTTGATCTGAGAGACATCAACAGTATCAACAATCTCATGACATGTGGCAAAGAAAATATTATTTACTCATTTGGAAAACTGATCAATTTCCAGAATTAGTAGGAAATGCACCAGTATCTGACATTCTGAAACACAAATCACACACTCAAGAAAAAGAGTGCAATTTCTTTTTTTTAAATATTTTTTTATTTTTAGTTGTACACGTTTATTTATTTTTATATGGTGTTGAGGTTTGAACCCAGGGCCTCGCGCATGCTAGGTGAGCGCTCTACCGCTGAGCCACAACCCCAGCCCCAAGAGTGCAATTTCTAAAAGAGTCTAAGGAGAAACCTGAAAATGAATATATGTACTTTCATATTTGCATAGGAATTAATTAATAGTTTATACCATTCCCCTAATGAACAGTGAATTATTTTATAAACAAAACCAAATTTACCTTTGGAAATCAACAACCAGCTTAACATCAGCAATGACAAGTTTATGCTCAATAATCATGTGCTTCAAAAGTTTGTCTTGTTCAGCAACAGGAAAATGCTCTTCACAGAAAATACAAGGCACAGATGCAGAACCGTCTAAAGTGATGGTGCCACCTGGACTTTCTGGCAGGGAAAGCGGCTCCAAGATACAATCCTTACTATTACTTTCTGGAAGAGATTAAGAAAAAAGAAATAAGGAAATAAAGAAAACTTGAAACCAATTTTTTAGATCTTTACATGAATGATTTCTCACCTTCTGCATTAAAAGGATCCTAAAGATATTCATGTATCTCCAAAAAGAAAAACATATAGTGACAGAGAGTAGATATTTTATTATCATTTTAAATACTTCTGTAACCCTGAGACAGGGAATAATGCAGAAGCAGCTCAAACTCCCCATTTGCTTGCTTGAATCAGAGAAACCCATTTGTCAGGGCAGCTATTCGAGACTTCTTCTTGGACACTGGTCAGTGGCAGAACTTCTGGGGTACTTGCAAGCGGGAAGGTTACAAGATTCTAAGGTTCAATTGTGACCTATGACTAAGAGTTATCACACAAAAGGAAGTAAATGGTATATACTGAGGCTACAGATGATGTCAGGTCAGTCTTTTAGGCTGCTCTCTATCATAGTGGCAAACTCTTTCCTATTTCTGATTATCTGTCACATATAGAGAGGATAGTTCTTATATAGGTGAGTGGCCCACGTGGTGATTTTCTGTTTATATCTTTTATTTGCTTTATATACATTTAGGTATCAGAATTGAGGCTTCTGTGAATAAAGATATGAATGTTCAATTACTAGACATAAATGATAAACATTTCTCTTATCTGTACTATTCCTTTTCCTAAACATCACCTTATAGTATCTTTATGAGTTGAAGTGTATACATTTTGTGTCTACAATTTCAGGACCTCAAACTATAAGCAGTTGTGTTGCATCAGGACCTCTCTTTAGTCTGCCTGAGTGGAAGCCTGGACCTTCATTTTATTCAGGCTAGTGAATAGTTAGTAACCAGAAAACTAGTATAAGGAAACTAGGGTAGAACTTTTGATGTTTGCAGAAGGGTGGGGAACCTTCTTAAGAAAAAAAGATAGCTCTTTGACAGACAATAGTCTTTAGAATTAGGTTAATATTAATTCTCCTGTTACATTCTATATCTTATTTTTATCTTACTGTATTCTTATTATTCAAAGCATTTTTTAAAATTTTTGTTCATAGGTCTTTATTTTGTTTATTTTTATGTGGTGCTGAGAATTGAACCCAGTGCCTCACACATGCTAGACAGTGCTCCACCACTAAGCCACAAGCCCAGCATCTTATTCAAAGCATTCTTAGTTGAATAATTGAATCATTCAAGGTAGACTGCTGACCATGGCCTAAGAATTAGATAACTAATAAAAGAGGGGCACTTTAATTTACCCACTTAACAAAAATCAACTGAGTATTTCCTGAATGCCAGTCTCTTTGTTTCAATGTTGCTTGACGTGATCCTTACTATCCAATTTAAAGTGCTCATAATTTGGTTGAAGGTACAAATAAATTAAAAGTGTAAAGAGAGCTATATGGAGCAGAAGAATGGAGAGAGTAACTAAGCTGGAAAGGGAAGGTGTCCTATAGGAGATGACCTCTAGTATATTATTCATATATACTCTGACCCTATTAGAAGTATGCTAAACCAAACTGTTTATTTTTGTTCACAAATTTTTTTATTATATTTTTGTTATCTTAAATACTCCCATATGACAGTAGGGGAAGTATTTAAATTACACAAGCACTTTAAAGTACTGTTAATGAAATGGATTATTAGCAATTTACACTTATTAAATTAGGTAATGGAATCATGAAATTCTGCAGTTTTTTGGTTACAGGCTATACTCTTTAGTTTAGGCTAAATTTTCATGTATTTTTATGTATATGTTACTTTCATGTACATATATGTTTGTTAAGTATATTACTTATCTCTAATTCCCCCATCTTAATATTAGAGATATGTAATATACCTATGAAATTCTATGATAATATTTTATACTAGTAGGATATGACAAAAGACAGCACATTCTAAATAAAGTGAACATTAGTAAATATTACCTACCAATAGGAAATAACAAGTACTATATTACATCCTTCTCTCCAAATTTGATTAAGATAGTTGTCATTTTGTTTGACTGTAGAGCACAAGATATGATAAATAATTGTTACCACCAACAGCAGGAACTAATGTTTTTTTTTTTTTAATATTTATTTTTTAGTTGTAGTTGGACACAATATCTTTATTTATTTATTTAATGTGGTGCTGGGGATCGAACCCAGGGCCTCACCTATGCTAGGTGAGCGCTCTACCACTGAGCCACAACCCCAGCCCAGGAACTAATGTTTGTTGAGTGCTTGCTATTTGTAAATTACCAACAAAGTGCTTTAGGGCATTTTCTCAATTAATCCTAACTATTTTATTTGGCAGTGTTACTCTAATCCCACGTTCCAGAACTGAGAGTAAAAAAGATAAATACTTTCCTAAAGTAATAATGTAGGTAAGTGGCATAAACATAGTTAAGTTCAGACTAAACTCAAATACTACATTTTTCTGCTCCCAGTACCAAAAGTATTTCCTTAACTTTCTTCTTAAATAAGTACTTTCAATGCTGTTTTGAATTTATATATATTTAGAACTACTCTGAATTTATATGCATTCTGCCAATGTCCTGCAGTCTCCCTGATGCTACCTCCACTAGCACTTCTTGAACAAATTCCAGCCCATGTTTTTCAAAATAATCACTGGAGTTCAGTTCATCTTTATCATTGTTTTTACTTTTTCCCAAGGCTTTACTGCAAACTCTACTATTCTGTGATTCGTTTTTCTTCCATTTTGAATGTGTAATGACCAGTTTTCCTTTTTTAAAATTATCCTTAGGAAAATGGACTGAAATGTTCAAGTATACTAGAACCACCTTTCTTGTCAAAGGCATAGAGAAACAAAATCATGAATATGCAGATTTCATGTATGATAAAGTTGTGGTTTGGTAGTATTAAGTTGTATTTGGGAACTTGAGTGACTATGTTTTCCTGAAAATAGAAGTTTTAACAGAACATTTTTAGACAACAAGATTTGTTTTCTCCTCTAACCATTAGCACCTTGCTCAAAATTATAATAGCTCTAATCATATAATATTTATCTATTTGTTCCCCTTTCTTGCCCTCAGATTGATAATCCTTGGAAGGTAAGGTGAGCTCCAGTTGTCTTTATTTACTTGCAAGTACACTGAATGAACATCTTATGCCCACCATGACCAATCATTATTTATTTTGTGTCTGGCATTGTTAAGTAATTTACATGTATCTATTAACTTAATTACCTCTCACCATAACCTTAATGAAGAAGATTTCAATTTGATCTGTATTTTACAAATGAGGGAACTGAGAGGCACTGAGAATCTCAGTGATCTGTGCAGATAGCTATAAAGTGGCGAGAGAAAAAAAAATCGGAATCCAAGTAGTGTTAAGTGTTAGCACTTTTAACCTATGGATAACACCAAGGAATTTAGATCTTTTCTTATAAGAAGTAGAGCCACGTCTATGTTTTAAACAGAAATGAGGAGAACAAACTGGAAAGAGGTAAATTTCAAGATGCAGAAACCAGTAGGGAGACTATTGTGGATGTTTAAGAGTGAATCAGCAATATTAGCAGTGGTCAGAAGGGAAAAAATTGGAATTTTTGAAGCAATACTAAAAAACAGTGGTTTAAAGCCTCCTTCTTTAGGGTAAGGGCGTAGCTCAGTGCTAGAGTGTGTATTTAGCTCACACAAGGCCCTGGGTTTTTGATCCCAGCAACCAAAAAAATAAAAAAAGAATTTTTCTTTAAAGAGAACCTAACACAGAAGTCCAGTCTGTCAATAGACGAAAGCTAAATTGCTTTAGCTGAAGTAGGGGTGAGGGGTACCCAGAACTCCATCTGTCAACTGCCCTAGTCCCTTGATTGAACTTCTTTCTGCTTTTCTCTAATCACCAGGAATAACTCAATTAAGGGCAAAAGCTCACTCTAAGACAGAGCCCCTCACCTATAATAATGATAACAGAACACCAATAATAACAGCAGTTGCACATATTGAGTAATATTACTCTGCACATGCTATGCTTGTCCTATGTGCAGGTATGTGCCTTGTATCATTGAATCCAGATAACTACAACCTTATAAAAAGACAGGTCAATACTATCATCATCCCCCTTTATCAATGCAGAAACTGAGACTGAGAAATGAAGTAATTTTCTTATAGTTACATGCTACTCAGGGCCTGAGCTGGAATTCTACCTGAATTCTGATTCTAAAACTTCCCAAATGATCATGTGGTCCCCTCTACAGATCTAGAAGCCTGTAGTCTATGATATTAAACTATTTATTTAAGTCTTTTGTTGTCGTATTCTACCAGTATAAAGTACGATCATAGAATTTCATAGGTGTATTACATATCAGTAGGGACAGACATTAAACTGATAGTTCTTGATTACTAATTCCCCACTGGGAGGGAAGGAGTAGGAAAAAAGGGAGCCTCCCATGTTTCTGGTACACATGAGACTGCCAGTCAGCAATCCAGGATTAAATGTAGAGAAGCAGATTTGGTTTTACGGGAGAGAAGGGTAATAATGAGTATGTTTTGGATGTGTTCGATTGATCTGCTCAGAAGTAAAATATTCCGCTACGGCTGGTAGACAACAGGAGCAGAGACTGGTGTCTGATGTGATGTATTTGTACCATCCTCTTTGTTTGCCGGGTTCTGCTCTTCCAGGTTCTCCTGCAGGCCTGGCCCACTCCATCTCTCTAGGCCCAATAAAAGCAAATATCTCTGTGGGAATCAATTATTTACACTTATTTCTGCCACTGTGCTAGTCTGTGAACTCAATGTAAGGGACTTATTTATTTTCATGTCTTGTGTAGACTACAGGGGCTGCTGGAACAAACCTGGCATTTAACATATGTTTGTTAAATGAAGACAGGAAAGAATGAATAATGGACCAGAAGTACTTTCAACTAGAGTTCTAATGTTAACTTAGTTTCTAGGAAAGTCCTACTTTGGGAAACATCTGTGCCTGTCTTTAGGAGAACTCTGTTTGGCATTAAAGGTATTCATCTTATATTCATAGCTAGATCTTTAGTGCTGTGGGCCTTGGTATAACA